TATAAGCTGAACCTTTTATATTTGTTCATAAAAACGCAAATGTCCACGTAAAAGCTGTGAAAAGTGTCAAATAATTTTAAAAATAAGCAGTACAAGTCTAAATTCACTGCCTTTGCTTTTTTTGCACATGCGCTCTAGTTTCTAAGGAAAGAAGAACCAGAACTCAGTTAATGTGTTGGTCAAATCAGCAGTTCACATTAAAACCTGCGGGGGCGGGGGGGTTTAAAGTGACGCTCATGCACAGCGCCCTCTAGTGACTACGGAGCGTTTGTGCAAGCCTCAGCAGCTGCGTGTAAACATTTCCTGATCAATCAGTTTATTGGATTTAGGTTTTGAAATTTACAACAAGATAAAATATAATAATTAAAGTATATTTTTTGACAGAGCAAAAATATGAAGAACATCACACTCGGTCACAGCCCAAGAAGAGGAGAGATCAGATAAAGTGGTAACTTCAAAAATGATACTTTATAAAAACATAATTAAATAAAAGAGTGTGTTTGTCAGTGGTGTAAAGCGCACACATACACGTGGCAGAGTGTGTCTAAAACACAGAATCGTGCTGTTGCTAAGCTGGTGAACATCTGAAGGCTGGCTGTCACTGCAGGAAGGAAGACGCTTTTATATTGCTGCTCAGTTACCTGCTGCAAAACAAAGCACAGAACACAACAAACGAAGTGGAGATGCCTCGAGGTCAACACAGCTGTTATATGAATGTGATACTACCCAGCACATCTATATACTGATGATTTTCTCTTGTATCAAAAGCGTAAAGCACTTCTCACTATAATGCAGAGCTCTGGGAAATCTAAAAGGCCAGCAGGCCCACTGCAAAGACAAATCAACTGTCTTTTAGAATTATAAAGACAGCGATCTACATGCAAAACACAACAGGATCGTCCTGTAAAAGGTCTAAATATACTACTCGTGTTGTGTGTTAGCAAAGAGGGCTGCGCATCAGCTGGATATTTGTGCCCGGTGTTTTCACTCCTATTTTCTCAACTGCATGATTTCATAAGATTGAACTTGGTAGATTTTGTCTAATCATGCTGAGAAACATGTGGACAGACAGACAAACCACACAGGAATTACAGGAGCCATCGTCACTTCTTTTTCCTATTTACATTTAGGTGTCTAACCGCTAAATGGTGGTTAGTGTTTTGTTTGAGAGTTGCACTTGAGGAAGAGGAAGACGAGCAGTGCCGCTTTCAGTGAACGCTCGGTTTGCTTGTCAAAGCTCCATTTTGCTAATAATTTGGCTTTAGCCCTTACTAACCTTTAGACTCTTCAGACAGAGTAATAAAGAAAGACATATGACTGTGCAAACGTATTGTTTATTGTATTATGCACGACTTCCCTTGCACATCTTATGCATAGATGACACATGTTTGCCTGTCCTGTCGGGCACTGGAGCAATCAGAATTATCGTCTGAAGGCTTTAGAAGAAATCATGGGGTGAAGCGATATTTTAAGCTCTGACTCTTTTTGTTATTTTCTTCACTTTTTTCTATTTTGTCTTTTAACCCAGTTAAAGCCACTGCAGGTGCTTGGCTTTGTGTAATTGTGTGGTAAAATGGCATTTGGATTTGACTAATACTGATACAATGACATTAAATAGACGTGTCTGCACACCCACACGGTGATGTCAACCTGATAACACCCCCTGATATAAAGCTTGATACTGTGCTCTTTTATACTTAAGATAATAAAGTGTTTACACCTGGAACGCGACTCGAGAAAGCTGCTATTAAATGGGAGAGCTGCAAACATTTAGAGCTAATTTGATTACTGAAAGCGAGCGCCGAGGGGCTCGGCATCAGCATTATGACTCATACGGCTAGACGTATCGCAGTTTGCTGGAATCTTCTAAAAAAGCCCCAATTAAGTGTTATTAGGTAGTAAGTAGGTGTGTGATAGGGGTCTTTTGGAAGGTGTCAAAATTATTACAGGAATGAAACTGATTTTTTGTTATGCTTTGAACAAATGATGCATTATTAAAGTTATATTATTATTATATGAGATTCTTCTAAGAGTAAAACATTTTACGACAGTCGGTAAAAGAATAAAATGTTCTGGGGTTCTAAATATGCTAAAACGGATTCACCGCTCGGTCTTCAAAAATCTATTTTTGTCCTGCTTTTTGTTAAAATTAGGTGACACAAATATGGCAGCATTGTCTTGATAATTTCAGTTTCCTGTTGACGTTTTCTCTCTTATCTGTTGCATATTCATAGTGGTGGGAAGCACCACACTGACTCTGCTCAAAGAGTCTGAAACCACATCCTTAGTCACGCTTG